AAGAGAAGACAGTAGGAAACAGGCATTAATAAGGGAGATAGGGATAAAAATGGAGCTATTTTAAGGGGAGGGGGGCTGGAAGGATATACAAGGAACCTAGGGGAAAAAGGGAAAGAAGGAGCTCAAGAGAGGTAGGACTGTGGGAGAAGGGTACTGTTAAGGGGGAAATGGGGGCACCTTAAGTGGAAAAACCATGATGGAGGGGTGAGACGATGCGAGAGATAAACAATGCTTAGCTAGTTTTGAAAACCAGAGTGAACCATATTACTCCTACAACCTACTGACAAATTATACATAGCAGATCAAGAAATATATGTCTAGGTAAGATTTATCTGAGACCAACTGGTCTTTGCCCAAGATTTATCTACATGACAAACAGTAATTAAAAGTACCAGACTGGTGGAACTAACCTTCTTGGGTGTTTAACAGACATGCCTTGAGGCCTATAATAATTTGCTCAGAGGGACATAAAGGACACTTTTTGTTCCTTGCCCTCCTAGGTCGACTAGTTCCAGGGGACTATGAGCATTTTTCAAAATGTCCTATATTGGTGGTGGGTCACCTGTCCTCTTGATCAAGGAGGCCAAGGAGACCCCACCAGATGGACTTGAACCAGTGTCCAGTCTACAAAGAGGAAGGTCAACACAGAGGAATCATTTCCTCCATGCTTCCAAGTGAAGCCAACCATGGTCGAGCAGGACCTTTGACTTCACATAGATGGAACTGGTAAAAGAAAGGAGCCAGGGGCTCCTCCCAAGGACCCCTGAAGAACAGATCTTCAAACGACCTTAAGAGTAAAAATAAATTGGCTTATCTGGGCCAACTATATGGCCTTAAACACCCAAAAGGAAAGCATAACCAAAGATTAAAGGGGCCAATATAATTTCTTAAGAGTCTATATGCATAGCTAAAGGCTACATAACAAGCAACAATGCGAGACAGGCGATACCTTCTTTTGAGTTGTTGGCCAGGGTGGCCAAAGGGATTCTTAGATAGTAATCCCACCCACATAGAACTGGGAAAATAAACAGCAGACCCCAATCTTATCTAAAGGAACATTGACAACTGAATACTGCTAGATGAGGAACAGCTGACCCTCCTAACACAAAGACCTCTAGATAGGCTGACTAGTTTCACCAGAAGGGCAAGTAGTGGGGAATGGCTGGGGGTACCAACAACACAGAAAACAGTAGCAGGGATATCAGAGTTTAAGGGCTCTAGTGGGGGGAGGGAGGCTATGGGAGGGTGCTCTCTGGGGAGTGGGTGTATAGTCAAATGAGATGGTTTGGGATGTTTTGTGTGATACACACACACAAAAAAATCAACAAATTTTTTAAAAAATGTATTATATTTGAGGAGGAAGCATGGAAATTTACATCATGCTAATTAGTAGAGGTGATAATACCACTGAAATCTGCCTGATAACTTTATAGACATACACAGGCTCCAAGGATCCAAGCGCATCCGTTTATGACTAGTAATAATCAGATACATACAGATTAGAGATGCAAATGCCAACATCTCGGTGTTAGTAGCAAAAACAATGAGTCTTTCTGCAAGGAACAATATATTCTAAAATGAAATGGAGATCCTTTTTAAAGGTTAAAAACTCATCCCAATTTTATATTTTACAGGGCTTATACTGAATTCAATAATACATAACTATATTAATTCAAAGGCGAACCTAGAAACTTGCACATACTTGTGAAAGAGATGTACTGTTGCTCTGGAGTGTGTTACTGAATATGTTAAAGCTGTAGTGAAAAGCTTCTAATCATGTAGTTATTAAAAATTTAAAAATGTATAATGATTAAAAAATAATTCTTCAAAGCATAAAAATTTGCTCCTTAATAATTAGTAGATGTGAAAAACATTACCATTGAAATCTACCTGATGAATTTATATCCATGCTCAGATGCCAAGGATCTCAGAAAGTAACTGACTGTGACTAGTAATAATCTGATATATAGAGATTAGAAACGCATGTGCAAACATCTTAATGTCAATTGCATTAAAAATGAAGTTTTCTGCGTGAAACTCTGTATTTTAATAATGAAATGGAGATCTTTTTTAAAGGTTAAAACCTCATTTAATTTTATGTCTTATAAGGTTTATACTGAGTACAATATTGTATAACTGTAATAATTCAACTGTAAACCTAAAAATGTACAGCCAATTTTGTAAGAGATACAGCCTAGCTCAGAAAATTGTTATTGAATATGTCAATGCTGATATAGTGAAATGCTTTTTCAAAGTATGTGGTTATTAAATAAATAATTTTTAAAAAAAAACATACCATTGTGGGGGTGCATGCCTTTAATCCCTGCACTCTGAAGACAGAAGCAGGTGGATCTCTGTGAATTTGAGGCCAGCCTGATTTAGTTCTAGGTCAGCCAGGGCTACAGAATGAGACCCTGTCTCAAAAAAGCTCAAGATTATCCTTGGCTACCATAGAGGGGTTGAGGGCCAGACTGGGTTACATGAGACTCTGTCTCAAAATACAAAACAACAGAGGCTAGAGAGAGATGACTCAGTGGTTAAGAGCACTGGCTGCTCTTGCAGAGGGCTGGGGTTCGATTCCCAGCATTCGCATGGCAGCTAACAAGTGTCCATAATTCTACCTCCAGGGAATCTGATGCCCTCTTCTGATCTCTGAGGGCACTGCATACACATGGTGCACTTACATACATGCAAAGTATTCATCATACACATAAAATAAAAATAAATGAATCGCGGGGGGGGGGGCATGGTAGTACACGCCTTTAATCCCAGTACTCGGGAGGCAGAGACAGGTGGATCTATGTGAGTTCAAGGCCAGCCTGTTCTACATAGTGAGTTCCAGGACAGCTGGGGGTACGGGGAGACCCTGTCTCAAAAAGACCAAAAATATAAAATCAATCAATCAATCAATCAATCAAAAATGTATTTAAAATAAATAATCTTAAACAAGAACATTTGAGCTGGGCATGTAATGCAATAGTAAAGTACTTACTTAGCATCACAAAGCCCTGGGTTTGATCCTTTGTGTTGGGGGGGGTGAAGAAGAAAAGGAAGATTAATCCAAAGACTGGGGGTACAGCTCAGAGGTAGAGTGTGCATTGTCTAACAATGCCCAAGGCCTAGGGTTTGATCCCCAATACTGTAAACAAACGAACAAAACCAAAACCCTCAAACAGCAGCAAAAACACAAAGTCAGCTTCTTAGTTAGGGTCAACCACCTAGGATGAAGTCTGAGAAAAGATCACCTGATTTGGTGGCTCTGACACTCAGACAGAGGGGAAGAGAGTAGAAACTCTATGCCAGGGATGCAAGAGTAGCTTAGCACAAGAAGCTGAGCCCAAGAGTTTATGAACAGCCTATGCAACATAGAAAGAATTATCTCTAAAAACTTAAAAATGAAGCTAGGCTTGTTATTCCAACTCCTGGGAGGCAGAGGCAGGAGGATCAAGAGTTCAAGACTAACTTAGGCTACATGATGAGACTCAGTCTCAAAAATAAGGAAATAAATAAAAATTAAGTAAAAATAAAAACAAAAGCCTGAAGAAGGGATGAACACATAACCCAAGTCATATGCAACCCATGCTTATTGATGAATAAATAAAGGAGGAAATGCAAGAGAAATATATGATTCAAATAAGTATATAGAAAGTTAGGAGAAGCTTGAGGGTTAGTAGAAGTCAAAGATGCTTTATATTTTGTCTCATCGGTGTTTGGAAGATGATGGATGGAAATCAGTGTCCAGGGGAGGTAGATGACTAAGCACTTAGAACTGCTGTTCTGGAGAATGTGAAGTCAGTTCCCTTCCTGGGCTGGCCAAGGACCGGAGCTGTGCTGAGAAGTGCATCCATCTGTCACAGAGCCACAGGCACTGGTCCAAGACCCTACTGTTCACTAGCAAAGGTAAAGGGTCTGTCCATAGAGGGTACTTACTTTTGTGGTCATCAGAAGGATAATAATCCATGAAGGCCATACACCTTGTGAAAAACTCGTCAAAGTTAAAAGTTGAGGGTAGTTTTAAGAAACTAACCTAAATAAAATAAAATGAGAAGTTTTCAGTTATGGTGAGGGTTGTCCATCCTGGAAGTGTAGTTTATCAGCAGAACAGTATGACTTTAATGTCCAGGACATGGAAAACAGTGATTGGCATACTTAAAAATGTTCAGTTTTTGTTTAAGACAGAGTCTGACTCTGTAGTTCAAAATGAGGGATATAGCATGAACTCCTGACAATCCTCTTGCCTTGACTTCTCAAGTGCTTGGATTGATAGGTATGAGCCACTGAGCCCCACTCAATTATTATTATCATTATTAGTAGTAGTATTTTTCAGTGCAGAGACTGAACTCAGGGCTTTGCACTCTGCCACTGAGCTACAATCCCCAATCCTGTTTGCTTGTTTGTTTATATTGTTGCTGTTTGAGACAGGGTCTTGTTAAGTAGTAAAGGATAGCCTCAAACTTATAATTCTAGCTTCTCAAGTGCTGGGAATATGTGCCACCATATCTGGCCTTCAGCTTATAAAATTATAATTTTAAATTGAGCAAGGTCTCAATTTAAATAGTGTAGCCTTGTAATCCCAGCTACTTGGAAGGCTAGGTAGGAAGATAAAAAATTCAAGGTTTTCCTTTGCTACAAAGGAAGTTCCAGGCTAACCTGGGCAACTTAGTGAGACTCTGACTCAAAAAAAAAAAAAAGATAAAAGAAAGGGAAGAAGGGGGGTGGTTAAAGATATAGTTTATTGATAGGATATATGCCTAGCATGTTTGTGGTCCTGTATTCAAGCTCTAGTACTGTCACAAAAACTTAAGTTGAAAAATTAGAGACTTGGAAGTGTAGCTCAGGCTGAGCACATGCTTATTAGTATATGTGTGCCAGGGCCTAGGTTCAATCCTCATCTTAAGAACAAAAGAAAAATTTCCAATTATTTATTAATAATACAAAGGGCCATTCCAAGGGACTAACCTTTATATTTTTCTGCTCCGAGAATCTTCTTTTTTCTTCTTTAGTCCTTTCCAAGTATTTTAAGTCAAATAAAACCTAACTAAACCATATGTCTGTCCTTTCTTCCTTCCTTCCTCCCTCCCTCCCTCCCTCCTTCCTTCCTTCTTTCCCCCTCTCTTTTTTCAGTGTGATACAGAATAACAGATTATTGAGAAACAGTTTTAACATTGATTGAAGCACAGTTGGGTGTGGTGGCACAAGCCTTTCATCCCAGCGCTTGGGAGGCAGAAGGCAGGTGGATCTCTGTGAGATTGAGGCCAGCCTAGTCTACATAGTGAGTTCCAGGCCAGTGAGTCTCCAGGGAGACTCTCTCAAAAAGATAAAAAAAAATTGATCGTAGCAGGGGCATTGAGGGAGAAAGAAAGAAGAGAGAGAGACACACACTTAGAAAAAAAGGACAAAACAAACCCAAGACATGGGTATAGGGTTCTCAGGAGAGAAAGTCTTACCCTATTTCTTTCTTAAGGTGTTAAAAACAAAGAATGTTAAGGCCTAAAAAAGGTATCAGGGACATCACCAGTAATAAGGCCATGAACTCCACAATGAGACACTCTGAGAATGTCATATCTTCAATCCTCTGTCTTCCTGCTTCCCAAAATGCAGAAATTTAGTCCAACAATGAGAAAGCATCAGGCAAAAAACAAAGAGAGGGATATTTGAAGAACTAACACTCCATCTGGATTAGGAGGTCGTTGGGTAATTAAAATAAGAGCTTTTATTCGTGGTGGGAGGCGGGTGCATACTTGTAATTCTAGCACTTGGGAAGTGGAGGCAAGAGGATCAGTAGTTCAAGGTCATCTTTAGCTTTACAATGAGTTCCAAGCCAGCCTGGGCTATATGAGACTCTCAAAAAGTAAAATAAATAAATAAATAAATAAATAAATAAATAATAAATAAATAAATAAAAATAAAAAAGGAGGATCAGTGGCAGACCTTCCCAATATTCTGCCCCTAGGTTACTCCTGTTCCTTAATAAGGCCACTGCCACCCACACCCACACTCCGCACCTTCAGTTACACTCAGAGACTCCTTGCACTCCTCAGTCTTGGCACCTCTCAGAAGACTTGTCCTGGACCAAAGTGGCCTTAGTCTAACCCAGACCTATTGGCACATACAGGCAGGACTTTCCGAAGGCAGCAGCACACTCACCTTAACTGCTCTCTCATTTGGAATCCTTTCAATTTCAATCATGTTGCGATCACAGAAGTGCCAGCACTCTGGTGACAGAATAACATCATTCATCTGGGCCATGTTCTGTGCAACACGTACATCGTCAACCGTCTGACCAGTCACCAGAAAATAGTTGTGAGTTTCGTCCCCAAAGACCAACAGGGTGATATGGCCAGCAGCCAGTCCTGGCAAGAAGACAATGGGTTTGCACAAGAAGTTCTGGGTTATTTCCCAGAAGCACTGGTTCTTACAAAAATCAGAATCTTGACGTGACTATACAACCTTTGAGCAAAATCCCATTTCTAAAATTTTATGTAGAAATCAGAGGATGCCCCTTCCAGGCCCTGGCCTTCCACCACGTTCCCTCTTTCAAACCTAGAGAAGTTAGCTCCTGCTTTTTGCCTTTCCATGGCATTTTCTCCTTAAAAGTTTTTTCCTACCATTTCCCTTTTCTTCAATTTTTTCTGAAGGGCAAAAGAAGACAACTTTTATAATTTGTTTGAGGAGGATTTTCGTTTTATCATAGATTGAAGCTTCAACTAAAAAAAAAATCTTAGGGTCTAATTTCAAGTAGTAGCCAAACATACATGAGGTTTGGGCTGCCATCATTTTTTGTTTGTTTTTGAGACAAGGTCTCATGCAGCCAAGGCTGGCCTCCAACTCCAATTCAATATGTAGCAGAGGCTGACCTTGAATTCCTGATCCTTCTGCTTCTACCTCCCAAGTGCTAGGATTACAGGCTGTACCACCATGCCCAGCCTGGCCCATCATCATTCTAAGAAGAAGTCTAAGAAGGATATTACATTAGCCTTTCTGGGTGAACTTGGAAAAACACATTCAGTATTGTTATTGGTTGAATTTTTTAAATTCTTTTATTTATTTTTTTGGTCTTTTTGAGACAGAGTCTCCCTGTAGCTCTAGCTGTCCTGGAACTCACTATGTAGACCAGGCTGGCCTTCCAAGTGCGAGAGGAGGAAAGCTGTCATCACTGTCTCAATCCAGGGATCCTCCACTTCTGTTCACCTCCAGCAGAACTTGACTGGGGATGAAGTGACCCTTTCTTATTTATTTACTTATTTATTTATTATTTATTTATTGTGTGCATACATGCCATGGTGTATTAAAAGCATGTGCCACCATGCCCAGATGCTTACCTATCTTCACTCGGATATCAAGACCCTTTTCAGCCTCCTTGTCCTCAAAGAAGCCATGGATCTGTAGGCTGCATTTAATTACCACTGTGATGATATTTTTTAGTTGCTTTGGCTCCACTTTCCACAAGGCCAGCAGTGCATCACCTTTAAGAGAGAGACACTCTGGGGGGCTTTGGACCTGCCCTGGGGTCAATGCATTTTGCATGAACATTGCATAGGCTTCTGCTGCAAACATTCCTCAAACCACACCCTGGCCACAACCCCTGAAATGCCTCCTTTGTAAGAGTTCAGCCTCTCAGTACTTCCTTCCTACCCTTCTCACCCCTGTCACCTTCCTTACCAGCAAATTTTAGAATGTCTCCTCCAAAAATCAGCACTTCTAAAAAGAAAAAAAAAAAAAAAAAGAAAGAGAAAGAGAAAGAAAAGTTAAATCAAACTCTGATTCCTTGTGAGCTTTACTGCTTAGTGGAATAGAAACAGGGTTTTGGACCATGCTGGCACATGGTTGTAATCCTAGCACTTGGGAGACTGAGGCAAGAGGATCACTGAGTTTGAGGCCAGCTTGAGCTAGTTAGCTAGACCATGTTTCAAAAAAAAAGAAAAAGGTAGAAACACGGTAGGGAAGATAGTAATTCAGAGAACAGACTTATAGCAAACATGCCATCTTTAAATCTATGTTTCCTATTTCCTCAACTGTGAAATGAGAACACAGAATGAAGTCATGCCTATGCTCTAGAAGGCTGCAGACGGGAAGGTGGAGCTTCCCACAAGCCCAAGCAAGGACAGTTGCCTTCCCCCCAGGATGAGAGACTACTCTTACAGCACTTTTTAAGGGCGCAGAGGCTGGTGGTTGAGTGACACAAGGACAGGAAAAAGGAAGTGGCCTTTGTTTGGTTAATTTTATTTGTTCATTTTGAAATTTAGGCTTTGAAACGTATGTGGAGATTTTTGTTTGTTTGGTTTTAGTGCTGGAGATGAACATGGAGCATGTTAGGCACGTGCTTTACCACGGGTCACATCCTTAGGCCATAAATGGACCCCCCCCCACCTCCCCAAGTTATAACATCACAAAATGTTGAGTACCTATTATGCTAAGTGGAATGCAAAAAGGAATCTGGAGACCAGGCATAGTGGCTCACCCTTTTAATCCAAGTACTTGGATGACAGAGGCAGGTGGATCTCTATGAGATCAAGGGCAGCCTGGTCGACATAGTGAGTTCCAGTCCAGCTTGGGCTACAGGGAGACCCTGTCTCAATAGCAACAACAATAAAATGAATTTGATGCCCTTTCTGTGATTTTTTTGGGATTTTATTTTTATTCTATTATTTGTGTGTGTGTGTGTTGTATGTATGTGTGTATGTTTGCTAGTGATAGAATATAGAGCTTCAAGCATGCTGAATACATACTCTATCACTATGTTTTTTTTAATTTTGTTGTTGCTATTATTTACATTTGCTTTTGAAATAGTCCCATACATAGCTTTGACTAGTTTGGAAGTCACTATGTGATCCAGGTAGCCTCAAATTTATGATGCTCCTGCCTCTGCTTCCTGAGTCTTGGGATTGCAAACTTTGTTTCTATTTTCAAGGAGCATTAACCCACCCAGGTACGGTGGCTCATGCCTGAAACTGCAACACTGGAAGACTGATTGCCTTGCGTTCAAAACCAGCTCATCTACATAGTAATTTCCAGGCAAGCCTGGACTACAGGTCTTTAACACAAATCATCCGTTCCCTCACATAATCTGTGTATCAGTGAGATGTGATCATATTCCTTCAGTTGTATTACAGCATATTAAACATATTGATGGCATATGAATTTCCTGGGGGAATATGAAGAACTAATTCTAAGTGACCGTGCTTCGCTATACAG